AAATGCTGTTTCCTGCTTATAGCCTTGGTGTCCCGTCTCTCCCTTCAAGAATCCCACAACATTTCTGGGGGCTTATCCAGGATCTGGAGACTGCGGTTTTTCGCCTCCCTTGTCTTCAGGATCTGGCCCCCAGGATGCTGGGAGAGACACAGACTCCGCTTGGCGCGCCAATGGGCCCCTTGCTCATAACGGGAGAAACATCTCTTCCAGTGACCTTGGGCAGCTGCCCCAGAAGCACAACAAAACCCAGAGAGATGTAGGAACCAGCCCAGAAGTACCTCCTGACTGAATGGTAAGGACCCAGGTCCCAGGAACAGCCTGTCCACTAGAGGACAGAAGGGGAGTCTGATCAATGCCTGGGGTCACCTGAGTACTTTATATTTGTTAGAGGAAACTGTGACCTCTCAGGTATATAGGGAGGAGGGTGGAGTGTGTTTGGTGTTTGATTGTGTGAGACTGAGATGTGGCCTAACTATGAAGCGAGAGCTGAGCCCCTATCTGCAGTTCCATGGCAAACCTCATACGGCTTAGAGTGGTGTCACTGGATCTCCATGAGGAGTCTACTCCAGTGATCTGAGTCTGCAGTTTATACCTACCCACCAATTGCTAAGAGGCGCCTGAAAGTTCCCCATGAGGAGAGTAGCTGGAGACGGGCGAAGTGAACCTCTGAGTGCATATGCAACCATGGGTGGAAGGATAAGTACACAACAGAGTAAACAGACATCTTTAGGTTGCATGCTTAAGAATTTCAAAAAGAGTAATTCAGGATATTATGGAGTTAAACTCACCCACAGAAACTCCACATCCTCTATGAGATCGACTGGCCCACTTTTGGCGTTGGATGGCCAGCAGAGGAAGCGCTTGATAAGGAAATCATTGCAAAGGCTCTCAAGTCATTACCAGTCAACCTGGCCACAGAGACCAATTTCCTTATATTGATTCTTAGAAGGCAATTGTTCTCACCCGACCCCCTTGGTTGAGTCTGCCTAAAGGAAAACTGTAGGGTCCTCCTAGCCCAAGCCTTGGCACACTCCAAGGTCAATTTAAGAAAAATAAGCTTGTGTTGCCAGCACTAGGCCAGACCAGGCTTCATTCTGCTAGGCCCCCAGGAGCCTATGGTCCAAATGATAGTAGAGGGCCGACTTATTGACTTTATGGTTGACATCAGAGCTGAACACTCAGTTGTAACTTGGCCTGTAGGCCCCCTTTCTCAAAGACAAGCACCATTATGGGAGCAACTGGGGGACAAGTCTGTCGCCCCTTCCTGTAGCCCCGCTGGTACAACCTAGGAGGATGAGAAGTCATCTACAAAGTCCTATATTTGCCTGACTGCCCAGTGGCACTGATGGGACAAGATATTTTAGGAAAACTACAGACTCAAATTACCTTTGACGCACATGACCAAGCAGCCCTAACTTTGGGGAGGCCAGAAGCAAGGATCATGTCACTTACGGTTCCCCAAGGAGAAGAGTGACACCTCTATAGTCTCACAGAGACCCGAGCTCCCCTCCAAGGTGCCCAGAGTGTGGGCTGAAGACCACCCTCCTGGTTTTAAACTCTTCCACCACTGGAGGAATGTGTCAGGCTAGTCCTGACACATTCCTCCAGTGGTGGAAGAGTTTAAAACCAGGAGCTGAGCCAGTCCACCAAAAACAGTATTTCATCACTCATAAGGTACAAGTGGGGATAGAAAAACAATTAGAGAGACTTCTGAAGTATGGAATTCTTTATCCCTGCCAATAATCCTGGAATACACCTCTCCTGCTGGTTCAGAAGCCAGGGACCAATAAATACCGGCCGGTCCAAGATCTATGAGCAGTCATTCAGGCAACTGTCATCCTGCACCCTGTTGTCCCCAACCCATATAACCTCCTAGGCCTCATCCCCACTGAGGCAGATTGTTTTACCTGTCTGGACCTCAAGGACACCTTCTTCTGCATTAACCTGGCTCCTCAGAGTCAACCAATCTTTGCCTTCCAAAGAGAAAGCCCTAAAAGTGGAGACACAGGCCAGTTGACATGGATGCGATTGCCTCAAGGATTCAAAAACTCCCCGACCATCTTTGGGACAGCTCTAGCCTTGGATTTAAAGGCCTTCCCGGAAAACCAACACAGCTGTACGTTACTCCAGTGTGTGGATCACCTCCTCTTAGAGAGAAATGCATGGGAACCCATCTACTTCTCAATCTCCTCTGGGAAGCGTGTTATAAGGTCTCTAAAAGGAAGGCTCAAATCTGCCAAGAAAGAGTCAAATACCTCAGCTTCCACCTGTTGCAGGGACAACACCAACTTAGCCCAGAAAGGAAACAAACAGTCTGCTCGACTCCCATCTCTACCACCTGACGACAAGTCCGCGAATTCCTCAAAGCAGCTGGCTTCTGCAGAATCTGGATACCTAATTTCTCCATCTTAGCCAAACCTCTCTATAAAGCCGTAAAGTGGGGAGAACAGGAGCCCCTACTCTGGGAATCTACAAAACAGAAGGCCTTTGAAGAAATCAAATGAGCATTCACTAACATCCCTGGACTAGGACTCCCAGACTTAACCAAATCTTTCTTTCTGTACATACACAAGAGCACGAGTGTTACAATAGGGATCTTAACCCAACTGCTAGGATCTTAGCACCGTCTCGTGGCTTAGCAATCCAAACAGCTTGACTCTGTCACCCAGGGCTAGCCACCCTGCTTGTGAGCACTTGCAGCCATGGCCCTCCTTGTGTCAGAGGCCAACAAACTATGGGACAAGAACTGACAGTTCGAGTACCACATTCAGTAATAACATTACTGGAATACAAGAGACAGTATTGGCTAACTAATGCCCAGATGGTCAGATACCAAGGAATGCTGTGCGAAAATCCGTGCATCTGCCTAGAGATAGTGCAAACCTTGAACCCAGCCACCTTGCTACCCATTGGGCCTGGCCAGCCAGTCCACGATTGCATTGAAGTCATGGATGAAGTGTTTTCCAGCCAACCTGACTTGACAGACCAGCCCCTCAAGGATCCTGATGTAGAAGCTTTGTGAGGGGAGGAGAATGCCTTGCAAAATATGCTGTGGTGACCCTACATTCTACCACTGAGGCAAAACCTTTGCCTAGGGGAACCTCAGCACAGATGGCAGAGCTCATCGCCTTGACCCACGCCCTTCAACCGGCAGTAGGGGAAGAATGTCTTGGCCAATGGGTCCAGGATACACTCGTGGGTTGGAGAAACCCCATGTAAAAGAATGCTGCTTTTAAATCACACAGACCTAAACTGGTGGCCCAAGTCTCCTTCCTGATATTGGGCCAATAATACTGCAGCTAACTCCTCCTCGTGCCCCTCTCTCAATGAAAACCCAACCATCACAAACTGCACTCTAGAAAATGGCATGGTTTCTAACTCTTTCCACACCATCTCGGCTATTGATACATTCTGGGAAAACCTCAATTCCACCAGCCCCAAAAGCTGGGCTCTTCTGGATTTGTGGAAAGTGAGTTTATACCCAACTCCTGACAAACTGGAAGGGAAGTTGCACCATTGGGAGCATTCAGCCTTGCTTCTTCCTTCTACCTGAACAAGGAGGAAATGAGCTAGGTGTTCCTCTATATCAAGATTTAAAGGCCAGAACTAAGAGATCATTTGAAACAGGAGGATAAAAAACGTGGAGAGAAGATAAGTGGCCGTCCCACCGTATTATTCTACTATGGCCCTGCAACTTGGGCCCAAAATGGGAGCTGGGGTTACTGAACCCCTATATACATGTTTAACTGGATCATTAGATTACAAGCAGTTCTTGAGATCATAACCAATGAGACTGCAACTGCCTTAGAGCTTCTAGCCAGGCAACAATCCCAGATGTGGTCAGCTATCTACCAAAATTACCTAGCCTTAGATTATCTATTAGCAGAAGAAGGAGGAATGTGCAAAAAGTTTAACCAGACTGATTATTGCCTCAAAATAGATGGCAATGGCAAAGCTGTGACTGCCATAGCTACTAATATTAGGAAAATAGTTCATGTGACTGTCCAAAGCTGGAAAGGATGGGACCCTAGTAACCTCTTTGGAGGCTGGTTCTCCACTTTCGGTGGCTTTAAGACTTTAATTGGGATAGTACTCCTCCTCTCGGAACCTACCTCCTCCTCCCATGCCTGTTGCCTCTTGTTATCCAGTTAACCACCTCCCTCATAGAAGCAATAGTAGAAAGAAAAACTGCAGCAAAAGTCCTTATGCTATGGAGGTACCAGCCTCTAAATCAAAAGTTAGAAGAAGGAGATGATGCTCTCTGACCCAGTCCTAGGTCCAAGCATCAAAGGGAAGAGTGTGGCAGCCTGACTCTGCCTGGCCATTTCCTGCTCAAACGAGTTCATTCCTGACTGCCCTCCCACACCTCAAGGACTCTCCAGCTAACATCAGTTTTTTCATAGTTTGCCAATCAATTAATATTCTTCCTTATATCTGTAGCTGTGTAGGAATGACAAGACTGTATAAAACTGCCTGTTATGCTACAATTGGGGCTCAGCCTTTGGATAAGAATCCCCTGAGCCGGTGCCAGCATCAATAAACTCTGCTTATAGCTTCGATGTCCCATCTCTCCTTTTGAGGATCCTGCAACAGTTACACCACAATAAAAAAATACCAAAAAATGAAAAAGCATATAGATAGAAAGTGAAAATTCTAATTCATATCACACACTTAAGATTTTTGTACTTTGCTCAGAAAAAAGTAAATAGAATAATAATAACATAAAATTAGGACTGTTAGTGTCAATGCCGAGCTGATCGAGAAGGGAAGGTTTTGGTGGCGAGATGCCCAGTTGAAAGAATGCATGAGGGGCCGACATGAGAATGAAATAGCAGGCACCAACGTTTATTGCGGGTAGTAAAACTGGGCGTCTCACCACCAAAATCTTCCTTTCTCAGTCAGCTCTATGCTGACAGTAAGCAGGAAGAAGCTCTTACCGCACTTCTAAGAGGAAGAGGAAGTTCTAATAACAAGCACTGTCAATACAGAATGAACTTGACTGCCGTGAAGTCTCCAGCACCAGTCTCCAGTGCGAAGAGTATGGTCTGGTTGTTCCAGTTTCTCATGCTTGTCTTTCTCATTGGCCCAGGTAAATGCCATAATGACTTCTTGGTTATTGTTCAGCTTGCTAAGTCTAAATCATCTATATATAGGTGTCTGTCTCTCTGCCAAGGGACTGGGTAGAGCTCACAGCCGCTGCTGTTACTAGAGAATAGGGTTCTCCTCTTGACTCATTGTCCAGGCTCTTGATGTCTGAAACAAAGAACTGAGCAAGACATCGAAGCACAGCTGAAAAGAATTGCTTTATTGGAAGGGAAAGTAAAGCAACAGTATATGAGGAGCCGACCTGAGCAAGTGAAAAGTGGCTCAAGGGCTCAATGAACCAGTAACAAAGTCTTTGGTGTTTTTAATCCCTATTTGCTGTATATGGTTAGTTTTCTTAGAGGAGTGGACTTCCTTGATGGACAACTAAGATGGATCCGACTCAGTGACTCATCATTTGCTTTCTGTGCATGTGAGTTCCCAGAATTCAGTCTGTTATAATGATATTAATGAACTTCTGGGAATATACATCATATTATAATGATGATATAATCATTACACCATCATTATACCATCACGATGATATAATGGCTTAGGTGAATTGAAGGTCGTTATGGTCTTCATCGCGCAGGTGCAAGTGACTGGTTAGTCTAGCACCCGTAATTTTCTGCTTGTTTCCTTGTATGAGTTGCTTTTAGCCCAAAAATACCTTTTGGCTTGCTTAATTGTGGGCGGACTGGGGTGGACCCTTTCTAGAATAGGATGACCTCATTGTTTTGCAGGCGGACGGAGACCCCCTATCTAACTTTCCTACCTAACTCTTTTCTAATAGCTATGAACCCTTTCTTATTAGTATGAATGTAGAGGGACAATAGGTCTCTTCTGC